TTCTTTCTTTCTTTCTTTCTTTTTCTTTCTTTTCTTTCTTCTCTCTCTCTCTTTCTTTTCTTCTTTCTTTCTTTCTTTTTTTCCCCAAGATGGAGTCTCACTCTGTTGTCAGGCTGGAGTGCAGTGGCATGATCTTGGCTCACTGCAAACTCCACTTCCCAGGTTCAAGCAACTCTCCTGCCTCAGCCTTCCAAGTAGCTGGGACTACAGGTGCACACCTACACACCCAGCTAACTTTTGTATTTTTAGTAGAGGTGGGATTCCACTGTGTTGGGCAGGATGGTCTTGATCTCTTGACCTCATGATCTGCCCAACTCAGCCTCCCAAAGTGCTGGGATTACAGGCGTGAGCCACTGCACCCAGCCACAATGCTCATTCTTTAATCTGTCGCTCAAAATGACCTAGTGACTTGAGGGAAAAAAAAAATGAAAGAAAATTGGGAGTTTGGAATCCTGGGGACACCTACATCAGCACAGGGTGATAATGGTTCTCATCCCAACACCGTCTTTGAGATCTTCCTCAAACCCTCATGCCAAATTCCTGTATCTCTCTGCTCCTGATTTCTAACTCTGAAGGCATTCACTTCCTGCTTAGCTGGTATACTCTTAAAAGGGTACCAGACCACAAAAGCACTCAGCATGGGACAGACAGATGACAGGAAGGAAACCATTGTTTTGCAGAGCTGGGCTGTAAGGTTAGAAATGAGGCATTCACACATACTCCCTCACAGTCAGCCCAGGGCACCCACCCAGTGTCAGCCAGTGCAGAAAAGTAGTAAAATCAGTGAATATGCTCTACTAGGGGAAAAAGTAATAGACACGTAATACAGTACCATGGGAAAGTGCTGCGTTGGAGACACAGGCAGGAGGTGCTGGGGAGGAAAAGAGACTGCTGGATATTGCACTGACTGGGAGGAAGCCTGCAGCCCCTGGACAGACAGGAGGAGAGAAAAAATTGATCAGGTAACAGAAAAGCACTGGGGTTGAAATCTCACAAGAAGCACGCCCCTGTCCTTCATAGGCTCTCTAGGTTCAGTGCACTCCAGAGAGGGGAATCCGCCACCAAGGAAAAGTCAAGGCTCTGAAAGAACAGAGCCAGACATTGTTGAGAGAGGCCCATTTGCACTTAGTGATTTTTTTAAAGAAGTTATTGATGTACATTTGATATTGTTGGTTACATCCTCTGGGTCTGAAAATATTGTCCCAAAACAAAGAAGTAATATCAAAAATTTAGAAAGCGTTTCACTCTGGCAGCCTACAGGTTTCTATTGGCATGTCTTTGTGTCTTTCCAGCAAAGGAGGGCGGCAATGCGCCTCTCTAAGGGAAGTATGTAGGAACAGCCAGTCCTCCTTGGAATTGACTAATTTCCGTTCTTCCCATTGATGAAGAATTCAGTCCTGACTCTTGGCAGACATGAGCATTTGATCTGTGACAGGACTGAGTGAGGGAGATGACACAAACGCCTAGGGTTCAGTCTAAGATACAGCCTCCTCCATACATTAAAAAAAATGACATTTAGACCAAAGAAAAATATCATTTGTTCTCCCTACTTTCATGCTTTCAACTTGCAAGTTACTGGATGGGGCACTCACCTCTATCTAAACTTAAGAATCCAGATTAAATCCTGTCCATCTGCAAAGAACTCTCTGCCGCCAGGTTTTATTTATGAGGCTTGAGTGGAAATATACCCTTCTCCCTGATTCTCTGCTGCTCTGAGGACTATGCAGCCTTCATCTGAGGGTACTTCCCTTCTCTGCCCTCCAACCAGCCCCTTACCTGAGTGACCAGAGGGCCTGCCATCTGTGGCTGCGGTGGCTGGACCTGCTGCTGGGGCTGTGGGGAGGGCTGCTGCTGGGGCGGCTGCTGCTGGGACTGCCCCACCATGGCGCTTCGCAGGGGCTGCTGACTGGTGGGTGGGTTGTATATTGCAGGAGTTCCATCAGGATTCACAAAGGGCTGGCCTGCAATGGAGTCAGAGCTTAGTCCAGGCGAGCTTCTCAATCTTTCCTTTGGCATAAAGAATCACTCCGATGGATACTCAAAAAGGAACCGAAAGTCAAGGGGCAAGGCAGTGGAAATCTAAGACCCCCAAACCTTCACCAGAGTGAGGACCCTACTGTCTGTAACCCATCACTTAAGCTAGGTGACAGTGGGAGCCCATAGCAATTTAAGAAGCAGCAAATAAATCGACCACCTGTAGGGAGCTTTGCCAAAGAAAAATGTATCTGTGGATGGAGGCACCAGTGGAGGGGCCTGTGGAGAAGAAATCTTCACAAAGCTAGACATTTTCTGCCCAGCACCTTACAGCCATCTGCGAGATAACATACACTGAATGATAAGGCTGCTTTCCAGTTACACACCTCCGGCTAAATGCAGTCACAAGTTATTTACCAATACATTTCTTTTGCTTCTACTAAGCCTTGTCACCAATTCAGAATCATTATCAGTTCTAGTAAATATGCAATGTAACATAACACATACATTCACTCACTTTTAGGAAATAGACATAAGCAAGGATACACGGGGTTTTAGAATTTTAAAGTAGTGCATCACAGAATCATCTTGTAATGGAAAAGATAATATACAGTCTTTTGCCTTATGAAATAATGGCATGGTTTACTATTATTAATATTGCTATTCATCATAGTATCACTTTGTCTTTGAGGAGTATTTTGTAGTTTACAAAATAGCATCGTTTGAGCCTCAACACAATTCCTGTGAGGAAGAAAGTTATCATTTTCCTGTTTTTCAGAAGAGAAAATGAAGCCTCATTCCTAGAACAATTATGGGAATAAAAAACTGAAAGGAGAAGAGCAAAGTGCACTAAATGAGGGGAAGAAGGGGAGCAAAGGAGAGAACAAACCAACTTTCCATGTGGCAAGCACAGTGACGGACACCTTACGTGTATGGTCTGAGCTCTCCTGACAACCTGCAGATATATATTCTCATTTCCACTTTAGAGAAAAGAAAATTAGGATTCAGGGGGACCAAGCAACTTATTCAGAAATATAAAAAACAGTAAGTGAGAGAGGTAGAAAATAACTCTGGTCAGTAAGACTTCAAAGTCTATTCACTTTCCATTATGCCACATAACTAAAGCGAATTATCCAATTTTACATAATGAGTGCGTGGAACAACTGGGTAACGATGAAAAAAAATCCAGTTGTAACTGAAAATTATTAATCAATGCATGAGAAGTCAGATGAGTTGAAGGACGTGTTTCAAGGTGAAGCAATACCCAGTATTGGCAGATAAATACTGAGAAGCATCAGAACTTGAGGAAATGGATTGGCAAACTATTCATGGGACTACTTGTGACACTTTTCTTCCCTTTTCAGTAAATCCTGTAACCCTATTGGAAAAGGAGCAGTATGAATGTTTGTTTACAAGCTGAAGTCAGAGAAATATTCTCTAGAAGCCTGAGAAAATGCCTAGAAAGAACAGGGCTTCCAGGATGGGGTTGATATTTCAGTGGAAGGTCGTCCTCATCTCAGCATAAGGAAGACGGTGGAAGCAGCATGCTGAGCTCTGCCTTAGCATGTATTCTAAAGCCTCTCAATCCATACATTGTTCTGATACACAAGGCTTGCATGACCATTCTTATCCAGGGTAAGAAGTGCATGATGGCAGAGGAAATAACAAGAACAGCCTTATTCTTCAATAATATAAATAAAGAACAACCAGGAATCATCAATCACATGAAAATAATTTGCAACAAAAGGGAGCAAGGGGTCGGGCACAGTGGCTCAAGCCTATAATCTGTTATATGATATTCATACAAGAACAGTCTGTTATAACATGGGAATTAAGCTAATTAACTAAGTGAATATTCTAAGTAAAGGAAATCAGTCACTTTGGGAGGCTGAAGTGGGTAGATCACTTGAGCTCAGGAGTTCAAGGCCAGCCTGGGGAACAGGGCGAAACCCTGTGTCTACAGAAAACAATAATAAAAAATTAGCCTGACATGGTGGTGCTCACCTCTGGTTCCACAGGAGGCTGAGGTGGGAGGGTCACTGGAGCCCAGGAGGTGGAGGTTGCAGTGAGCCAAGATCATGCCACTGCACTCCAGCCTGGGTGACAGAGTGAGACCCTGTCTCAGAAAAAAAAAAAAAAAAAGCAAGACAGAGGAAAAAAATCTAAAAACTGACCCAGGGGCAAGGAAATATTCTAGTGAAAAAAGTGCATAAGCTGTTCCTACAATAACAGACTGTTATAACATGGGAACTAAGCTAATTAAGTGAATATTCTAAGTAAAGAAAATCAGTCACAAAAGGACATGTACTGTGAAATCTCATTTATTACCTACAAGATCAGCAGAACTAATCAACGGTAATAGAATTCAGAACAGCAGTATGTCTGGGAGGGCATGAGGAAACCCATGGGAAGACTAGACATAGTCCAGGTCTCTGAGTCAAGTTTACACAGATTTTCACATATGCAAAAATTTATTAAGGTCTGCACTTCAGACGTGTGCAGATAATGCACTTCCCCTGTATATTGTATAGCTCCATAAATGAAGCAAGTACAGTGGAGCAAGTTGGGGAGGAAAATGCTGAGATTGTAGTAAGGCCAAACAAAATGCTCAAGAGAGCAAAAGCCTTGACTTCAGCTCACTTAGGAATGGCAACCAGGGGCTCATATGCTCTGTTATTCCCACAAATTTTGAGTGCAAATATATTTGTGTGTTTGTAATGAGAAACTTTAAATGGTGCATACTCAGAAACATACCTAAATTCTGATCACAGTTTCATAACCAACACTAATGTGCTGTGATGGGGAAGCAAACGTGCCAGAATTGAATTTGCAAAACAGCAACAAAATCAAGTGTTTGCTCTCACTTCCTCTTTTTTTAAATATTCTTCATTTTCCAGGCACTTGTTTTCCTATCACATAGATGCATTTTATTGTTTTAAATGAATTTTCTTTTTGAAAAATAATTTTCTTCTAGCTTCAAAACTACAACCCATTTTCCCTCCCAAATCAGCAATTTGGGGAAAGATTTTTAAAAGCTCAATATTAAAAAATCTATCAGCCCATTTGGTGTTCTGATCTTTAGTTTTCCTGTGTTTCATTTGCTCTGTATTTTAGAAAGGCAAGAGAAAAATTCTAGGTACTTAACTTGTTGAAAAAAATCACAAAGATGGTCATATAACTCCATTTGGAATTATTTCAAAATCAGTCTCATGCGCACGCACGCGTGCGCGCGCGCACACACACACACACACACACACAATGTACATATTCAATGGAAAGGGCTGTATGGCTTTTGATTTACTCCAATAAAAACTAAGGAAGTATAAAAAACTGACCGTAACTAAAATTTTAAAACATAATTCCAAAAGCATTCATGTGTCTTTTGATAAATTCTAGATCCTCCATTTGAAATATGATTAATATGCTGTGGGCTAGAAGAAGTTTCTAAATAACTGCACATAAAAATACCACTAAGGATTCACTTAAGTAGAGAGAGGTGGTAGGTTCTTCTGGAAAGAGAAGAGAATACGAAAGATGGATTTTTATGCTCACCAACAAGGAGAGATGGAAAGAGCTGAGAAACATGAAAGAAGATGGACGCCAGAGAACAGAACAAAAGCAATTTCCTAAGAGACCCAGGATAGGTGACGATTGGTTTCCAAGTCAGGCAATGGCAGTCTCTCTATATTCTGATTTCTACCGATCCAGATGCAATTACACTGAATACAAGCAATTAGTTTGAATGACAGCTGCTGAAGACTAAAGAGGAAAAAAGCACTGGCTGGCCCTCAGCCTAGTTAGCCTAGAGGAGGTTTTCATGTCAGAAACTGCACAAGCATGCTCAGCAGGCCTTGGAATGGGTGCTGGCATAGGTGGAGAGAGTGCAATGACAGAAGTAAGCCAGGGCACATTGAATGCAGAGCAGGTGCAGAGAAAAGGATTAAACGCAGAATGCTTATTCCTCTCAAGTATATGACATTAGGTGAAAAACTGCTCTGCTATCCATATCAACATGCATAATGGGCAGTAGATATTATTTCAATAAAAGTAATTATTGAGCACCTGCACAGTGCCTAAGACCTTGTCATCAATTTCAGGAAAGCACACAAAAAATTAAGCAAATAAAAAATATCTAAGCATGGACCCTCCACACAAGAAGCTTATATATATGTTAGTGTCAAGAAGATGAACTAAAGGGCAATTCATACAAGAAGTGAAGTCATCATATGATCTTGGTTTTTAACACCAAAGCATTTCTGTATTTACCCTTCTGTGAAGAAGGGTAACTATTTAAAAAGAAATAGTTACATTATAAGGGAGCTACTGATTATGGGTAGACATGGATTAACTTAGACCTTGCAAAGATACATTTATAGGCAGAATGCAAAATTCATGGTTCATTTAATTTTAAAAATGTGGGAACAGTTTGGATAAATAGATGCTAAAAGTCCTGATAAAAAATAAAAAGTATTGTTACGGAAGTCTATCAGGAATATTTGAAAGACAACAGATCCAAAAAGCTCCTCAAGTGAAGTCTCTGCAAATGGCATGACCTTACATAACACAGTCTTAAACTTGCACCAGATAATGGCCAAGCAAAATGTCAAAATAATATATATGAACATTAACGAGTTCTTGAGGGACGCCAATGTCTATTGGCATTTCTGGATTGCACTGAGTTGAAGTAAAATAGCCCAACAAAACTGAGCTTTCTGCTAAAAATTTCCCTAAAGGAGGCTGGGTCTGAGACAGCTGGAGGAAGATCAAACCCAAGAGTCTAGGCTTGCCTTACAAGGATGAAGATGTTATACAGGGAAAACTTTGAAAAACAGCCTCTGTGGCACCTCACTCATCCAGATGCCTGAAAAGCAAAGGAAGAACGAACAAAAGGTCTAAGTTAGAAATGGACCTGCTGAAAGCTGAGTCAGAGGCCAGACAAAATTAAAAGTTACGGTTATGCTGGGGAAACTGCAAAGGTATATGTGAATAGGTTGATTTCAGTGTGCCAAATATTCAGTACTTAGTAAGAGCCAAGTCAACTGTGCTGACAAAGGAAGTTACATTTTTATTTCATTTAGTAGGCACATGATTGGCAGATACCTTAGTATTTTTAAATCATTGCTTATCTTATTATTGCTTAAAAGAGATGTTTTATCAATTATAGTTTTGCACATGAACCACATTCCAAATATATGACATTAGCTGAAAAACTGCTCTGTTTTCCATCCCACATATATAATGATTAGTAGATATTCCTTCAATAATGATGTAATTATTGAGCACCTGCACAGTGCCTAAGGCTTTTTTATCCATTCCGGGGAAGCAACAAATAAAATAACGAAGTATATGGCTCCTCTGCACAGAAGCTTGTAAGTATATTGGTAACAAGGAAATGAGCCCATGGGCACTACAAATGAGAAGCAAAATAGTTATATGATCTTGGTTCCTAACACCCAAGTATTTTTGTTGTGTACTTGGTAGAAAGCTACTTAAAAAAGGGTGAGCGGTGTAGTTTCTAGATTCACAGCAATGACAGAAGGAGATGAGTTCCAGCCCAAAGAGGCAAATTTTTAGTTTCAACAGTAAGAGATTTGATAAGTAGATACATGTACATACACACACATATACATACTACAGATACACCTATACATATAACATGCATTATATATAATACATACATGTACGTACACATACATGTGTATATTTTCAATGTACAAAATAAGCATATTCTAGAAAAGAAGAAACATAATTCAACTTACATCTCGCTACTAAAAATAGTATATAATATATTCATACATTTCCTTTTGCTTTAGAATTTTTAAATATAGCATTTGTCAGATCAGAAAAGTGTATGGAGAAGCTGTTCAACAGTGTTATTAAATCCTTTTCCTTAGTTGGGATCCTTTTACAAAAGAGATATTTTGATAACAGCTCTAAATGACTCAGTCCAATGAATAAGAATTGGGACTTGGCATCAAATAACATTGTTTCTTTTTTCTATAAACAAGATTATAGATGATAATATACACATACACATGCACAACCATGCTATCATTACAAATAATATTCCTGCATTGTACCCTAAAAAATACGCTGTTGAGCTTTTTCAAAACACTCTGTAATTTTGCTTAAAACAAACCACTCAAAACAAGTGGTTAAAATGCGCTCTTTTCTGCAAGCCCTCTATCTCAATTAAAAGTGAAAGGGTTTAAGCCAACAAAGTCAAACAGTACTTTGATTAGTGCCCAAAGTAATGAATATGATCCTGGTCTTCTTGTCGTTTTCTTTATAGTGCTTACAATAATCCAGATAAAATAAAAGCAATCTAAACATCTTCCTTAGAAGTATCTAATCTGAAGCTTCAAACAGTTTTCAATAAAATGATTATGCCTTTCTTCCCTCAAGCTTATGGCATTTTCAATATGTCTCAATCAAACACCATGACTTGGGAATGTGCCATATGTTTTATGAAAATGTGGCAATTATTCAAGTAACTATTTTATTACAGTTCTCATGTTTCTCTGAATTTCCTAATTACTAGTAGCACTATATTTATGAGAAGATTGAGTCAGATCATTTTTGTGAGAGACTTATCCAGTTTCGCATTTTCAAGTTTAGCTAATTGAAGAAATAGTCTGGAATGGTCTAAGCAAAACTTCAGATCTGTTTCAAGGCAGCTCCATCTATTGCCAGTCCCTAATAAAGACCTCTTAAGAAGTGACTCGTCAATGCCAAACTTTCTAAGTCAGGGATTCTCAACCAGGGTACAACTGACATATTGAACTGGATAATCTTCTACTGTGGAAGTCTGTCCTGGGCATTGGGGGATGTTTAGCAGCATTTCTGGCCTCTACCTACTGGGTGCTGATAGCAGTCCTCTTCTCCCCAGGTCATGGTAATCAAAATGTCTCCAGATATCGCCAAATGGCCTTAGGGGCAGAGACAAAAATGCCCCTGGTTGAGAATTCTCCCTCGCAAATAGGAAGATATTCCTGAGTTCATTTCCTGATGTTAGAATTTCAATGCCCTCAGTCTTTTGAAATCAATGTGGAAGTTAAATGACCCACTAGAGAAATGCAAAATTAAAGAACCAATGACCATTCATCATGGAAGAAACTGTAACCACAGAGTGAACAATTTTCTAAACCCCACCAAAATCAGTCTAGGACTGACATTTCTAAAGTACACAAGAATTTTCTCTGTATCCTCTTCGCCACTGCTATTTCTTCAACTTTCTTCACTGCTGTCCTTCAACTTTCTTACGCTGAAGTTCTAAGGTTAAAAAACAACTTCCGTGGTTGATGGTCACTATATGTTTCAATGGATACTTCAACTCTAGAAATATCCTTGGCTGCAAAAACACTTCTGACATAATACAGGCTAACTGAGGATTTAGACTGAGGAACACAAAGTTTTAATTAGTATATCCCATCTTATCACCATGTTGTCTCATCTTAGCTCCTAAGCATGCATGAGAGACATTGTAGTAAAAGAAAAAAGACAAAGAGAAAAGTAGATGCTTCTGGAAATATCTATATCAATATCAATATTGATATGAAGATATAGATATGTAGGTATAGATACTGCTGTAAATCTGCTCTTTCTAAACAAAAATGCTTCACAACAGTTCATGCAACTAGCTTTCCTGTTCAGGAATTTTCAGAACATTTGCTAGCAAATTCATAAGATCAAACACAAGAACAAACTCCTGAAAGCCCTGTGTTCCTGATAAAGCAGGTAGTAACTCACCTGTGTGTGGATTAAGAAGGATGCTTCCAGGTGGGATGCCTGTTGCAGCTTCAAGTGGAAGAAGGATGTAGCTGGTGCTGCTGGGAGCGACCTGGCCCCCTATTCCATTCTCTGGATAAGGCACACAGCCTGGAGAACCAGCTGCCACGCCTGAGACCAGGGGTGTGCTCTGGAGAGGTGGATGGGTGCGGGACAGCGATCCCGAAGAGCCTGCGCTGCTGGAAGACTCCGAACCTGGCACAGGGATACGATCAACACAGAGAAGAGAGAAAGCACCAACCTGCATCTAAATGCTTGCTTTTCTGTGACGCATCATTAAAAAATTTGAGACGCATGCTGTAGAATAAGATTAACTAAGGGCCCTCCCCTAGTTTGGCCTCATATTTTATGGAAATAGTTGCTACATATTTTTCAGATGTGTCAATTTTCTGGGAAAAGAGGAATTAAGAATGAGAACTTTCTCAGCCTTTTCACAAATTACTAGGGTGATAAATCAGTACAGGGTACCCTAAAGTTCTGAACTCAGTACCTGAAAACTCCCTCCTATGTCCCCAAGTAATTACTACCATGGAAATGTCTTACTAAGCTGAAATCATAGGAGTAAAATGACTGGGATGGAGGTTAGAGACTGCACCTTAAGGAAGGGCCCTATGATATGCAGGTCATGTGCATGGTTCTAAAGTACTGGTTCTCCAACACCTATACAGCTGAAGTCTGAAGGGGTCTAGTCATAAATAATCTTTCACCTTCATGTGTGAGTAGAAGACCTGGGAGCATAGCGTATATGAGCAAACACATTTCAAATTCTAATCGGATTGCTTTTAAGGAGTGGCATGATTTAGGAGAATGTGTGAAGGATTGAATATCAGGGAGACACAAATGAATCAGGGCTTTTTCTAACCATCTGATCAGAGGCAATTAAAAACCATTGAATGTTATAATTCTTGTGTGTGAAGTTGAAACTTTAGATGTTAAGGATTTTAAAAACAAACAAAAGATGCGACCAGGTGTGGTGGCTCACACTTGTAATCCCAGCACTTTAGGAGGCCAAGTTGGTTGGATCACAAGGTCAGGAGATCGAGGCCATCCTGGCTAACATAGTGAAACCCCATCTCTACTGAAAATAGAAAAAATTAGCCAGGCGTGGTGGTGCGTGCCTGTAGTCCGAGCTGCTTGGGAAGCTGAGGCAAGAGAATCGCTTGAACCTGGGAGGCAGAGGTTGCAGTGAGCCAGGATCACACCACTGCACTCCAGCCTGGATGACAGAGCAAGACTCAGTCTAAAAAAAAAAAAAAGAAAAAAAAAAAAAGATGCAAGGAATCAAATAGATGGTGGGCATTATTATTATTAATGTAATATATTTAAGTGTTTATGGTACTGTACTGAATTTTGCATATTTGAAGAAGCCTTATTGGTATGATTAAAGGGTAGATCAAAGAGAGCTTGGCCTTATAATGACTGAATATCCTTTAGATGACACAGAATAGTAAAATAATCATGATGTTTATGGATTCCAAATTTTTCAGACACATAGATAACCCGGAACAGTGTGCAGAAGCCCCTAAGGTGAATCTAACAATCTCTTCTGTCCTACCATTATGAACAAAGAGAAACATATCCCAATATGTCCATTGGCACTCACTGGCATTTCACTGCAGCAAGAGCCAAGCAGCCCCAGTACCCTTAATCATGGCTCTCCTGGGCACTAGGTATTAACCAGAGCTGCCAAGAGAAAACACTCTAAGTAAAATTTATACTACTGCAAGTTCAAACTAACAGATTACTTGGGTAATACAGGTTGCAAGAATGTCATACACGAAGTTGTTTAAATCATCAGCCTACACCATTGATTATGTCATTAAAAAGGCATTCTTGTGTATCATTAAAGTCAAAATATGTAATCAATTATTAACACTCTTTTCAAAAGATTCTAAAATATGCCCTTAAACTGGAGATCTTTTAAAATAAGTGAAAAGAATATAACATTTAAGTGTAGAGAAGAAGGGTATTTGGAAAGGGTGATAATTCTGAGGAGAATGATAATATTTACTGGGCACTTAGTATGTGTAAGCACTTGAATAAACACTTAAGTAATAACAGTTACTGCCTGTACAGAAACTGAAATACAAGAAAGTTAGGTAACTCAGGTCAGCTCATACAGCTAGATAATGGCAGAGCTAGAATTTGGTCCATACAGACTTATCTATAGCTCAAGCTTTAACCATGACCCCACATTGCTCCTTGAAACTGTACATATGCATATATCATGACCTGTCACAAGTGTTCTGGTGTTCTCAGTTGGGCATCTTTACTGCTTTCTTCATGACTTGATTATTAATAATGATAGTTTTACGTCAATTCAGGATGCTCCACCTAAGTGGTTTAGAATGCTGATGGGATTCTGAATAAGGCATGGGGAGAAAAATAAAAATATGTAAAAAGAATATTGAAAATGCTAATAGAAGTTTTGAGACTATGTCACTGAAATTATGACTCTGCGATCATAGTCTCAATGCAGACTGTAGCATTTGTTTATGACCTGCTGTGGGTAATTTGATGCTACATTACACGTTTGACTCTAGAACCAACAGCAACAACAAAACTCCTGTACCCAGGTATTTAAGGTTATACAAACATAGTGCAGCTCATCTCCAGACTGTGGGACCAGGCACGGAAGAAAGAGTTGGGGCCAAAGAAGTGCGTCCTAACTCGGATGTGGGCTGTAAGCTAGTGACGACATGGGTGTGTGTGTTGGGTGGGGTGGGTTGATGCAGACAGACTGAAGTGTCACAATCGAATCCAAAGAGTAATTTAATTTTGGTTTTAGAAGGATGGTCATTAATCACTGATTTACAATATTATACCCTTCCCTCACATGGGGGAACAGAAGCAGCATCAATAGGAGAAATGAGGAGGCAATGCAAATGATTTGATTCCACAGGTAAAAGGAAGGAAGAAAACCTAAATTTGGCTCAAATTCTCTGCACTTGATAAGATGGAAATAAAGTCAAACCTCTCCAAAAGGATGGCTCAGCAATCAACATGCAGCCAGAATTAGTAACTGGCCCTTCCGATTGGCTTATAACCAGCTTTGACCATCATGTAAACATCAATCATGAAGGTCACAGTGAGCCACATTCCACACATAGCCAGGGTTGCTAAAGTCTGTGATAAAACACAAATGCTAATGATGGTGCTAAAAGGCACAGGATTAGAAGTGTTCAAATATTTTTTAAACAATGAAATTGATATTTGAGAACTTTTAAGATATAGAATACCTGAGAGTTAAAAGTATTTCTGGTTTCCTTTTTTAGAGGTTTGATGATAACCATAACAAATATTTATACAGTATGTGTATGTGACAAGCACTGTGCTACTTTCTCTATGTCAATTGTCTAGTCTAATTTTTACAGTAGCCTCATTTTGGAGATGAGAACTGATCTTCAGACATGTTAAATAAATTTCCCAAAACTCAGTGTGTGGTATAACCTGAGCTCAAACCCAGGCAAACTGATTCCACAGGTGGCTCTTTAAGCCTGTAGGTCATGTAGGTCATGTTCATCTTCTTTGCATTTAGGCAAGGCTTAGTTGGGGCCAGGGCCCTGAGCAAGCCTGTGTGAAGTTCTAGGAGATACTAGATAGAAATTCCATGCTAGACACAGTGGGATGCTTAGAAACCAAAGCTGAACCCCAAGGGGTAGCCACAGAGAGGAGAAAAAAGAAGACATCTGAGTGGACAGGTGAGAGACTCAGGTGAACCCTCCAGAGAAAAACAGAAAAACAAAAATGGGAAACATGACAAAAGATAGAAAAAGAGATCACAAGGCAAGACAAAATGAAAAACCAGGAAAGGACAGGGCAGAAGGGGAAGGGCATAGGCGGATTCCTTTGGAGCAGATGGAACTTTCCCCAGGGAGGAAGAATGCTGGGTTTTAATTCTAGTTCTGACACTTACTAGCTGTGTTTTCTTCATGAAGTGACTACTTTAGACCTCAATATACTCTTGTAAAATATAAGGTACCAGACTAAATGGGGAGCAATGGTAAGGAAGATGACCTTAATGTTCCCCTCAGCTTGACCAAACTTTTCTCTCTTTTCTTAGACTAGGGCCTCCTCACCTCCCTTTCCTTAGAGCATTTATGCCCCTTTGAGATGTAAATCTCCTAGCCTTTAGCCACTTTTACAACCCAGGAAGAACTTTCTTAAGTACCTGAAAGCCATCCCTTTGAAATCTAATCATCATAAAAAATAGAGCCCCTATCTCTCAGTTTCTGTGGGAGCATAGGAGCCTAACTTTCACAGCACCAATTAGCAAACACATATAGCCTAATCACATCACTCAGTTTCCTCCATAATGTCCTCCAAAATTTTACCACTTGCTCACCCAGTGCTTGAAGACTCCTGCTTTTTGATTCAGTGGAATTCAGTTCTCTCTCTAAAAAGAGAGATCATAGTCTTGATCCTTGTTGCAATAATAATGAATAAATTCTTTTTCCTGCACCATCTGGTGCAATTTTTCTTTTACTAGGACCACAAGTCATAAAGGTTTTATTTCTGAATTATATAATTTAAGAAAATATTTCCAGATTTAAGGGAGTTAGGGTTCAGTGGAATAACTTAACGCTTCCAAAATTACAAGAAGGAAGAGAATATCCAGGATGTATTATATTAGTGTAGTAACGAAGATAGAGACAAAGAAGAGGAAATGGTAGAAACGTGAGGTGTCTTGGATTGGATCAAAAAACACTCTAGGATGTATGCAAGGATGTGGCAATAGCAAGAATAGCCTTGCATCCAGAAAACATCAAGCCAGAACGCCTAAAATTGTTCAAACAAACAAAAGGACGTCTTATTTTTTCAGAGCAGTTGTGTTTGAAATGTGGTTCCCAGACAAACAGCATTGCATCAACTGGGAGCTTGCTGGAAATGCAAATTCTCAGGCCCCATCCCAGACCCAGGTGCTCAGAAACCCTGGATTGAGTGCTGCAATCTGGTATTTAAGGAATCCTTTGGGTGATTCTGATGGAGCTAAAGTTGAGAAACCCTGCTTTGAAAATCAAGATGATGGAACAATAGTAGCAGCATAGATAGGCCAATGGGGAAGAAATAGATGCCATACTCTTATTTCTCAACCACATTGCTCTTAACAAGAAACAGCTGAGGTTGCTGTGCAGCTACTATTCAACTGCTTTTCGTAAGGAGGATACAAGGGCATCACCTGCCTCCAGAAACGTGTGCTGGGCATCTGGTAGGCAGCGGCCTCAAGAGAATGTGCTTGTACATTGGCACTTCAGTAATACATTTCCTTCCAAAATGTCGGAAAACGTGTTTCCAATGTTGAAAAAGTCTCATCATTATCTATTTAAAGCTAGAATCTGTGTAATTAGAGGAGGAGAAGAGTAACTTAAATGTCACAACTCCAGACTTGGTTTCTAAAAGGTCATCAAAAAAAGTTTGCAATTCCACTGTGAACAATTAGGTAAAAAATGGAAAACTTGTGCTGTTCTGAAGCTCTGTGACAGCAAAACTGACAGCTTTGCTTCATAAATCCATCTTGGGAAATTGTAAGTTTGTTTTGACATCCTACCTTGATCTTCTTTAAGTTTTTATTCCCTTTCCATGCCTGCACTTTGACAAGCCTTCAAATGGAGACACTTAGATTAAAAGAAAAAAAAGTCTGAAGCACTTATAGTCTCTAATCATTCTTCAAAGAACATGGCATTTTAACATTTTTGAAGTGTTTTAAATGTTTCCAAAGAGCTTTGCCTTGGAAGTGACTGGGGGGCTGGTGCATGGAGAATGACTATTAATTTAAAAATCTTAAGAGCTCTTTTGGTGTGCTGGAATTTTTAAGTGCACCATTTAAAGTACTTGGTTTTCACATTTTAAGGAGATTTAAAACTATTAAACCTTTCTTAGTTTACAAGAGCTCAAGTGCACCACAGTGGATTTTCTTTACTCCAGTTGCTACAATAGTAGGATATGAGAGCAATTAATTACAGTAAGAAATCAAGAACTCACCAATTAGTGAATAAAAATTGCAGGAAGGTAGTGTGAGCCCAGCTGAATCGTACCAAGAAGTAGGGTGTGTGTATTAAATAGGGGCTGTAAATAAATGCTATTAATTTTCTCCTTATATAGAAAAACATGAGATAATTTTTAGGAGGAATTTGTCAACAACCTAATTATGTTAAACCATCAGCAAATGGACCCAGATTTTGCATGGAGGTGGGGGACCCCTTGGCCTTAACAAGAGTGTAAAAGTTGATTGGGAAAATATCCACAGTCCAGGGCAGCCCGTGTTGAAACTCTTTTTTTTTTTTTTTCAGATGGAGTTTCACTCTTGTTACCCAGGCTGGAGTGCAATGGCGCGATCTCGGCTCACCGCAACCTCCGCCTCCTGGGTTCAGGCAATCCTCCTGTCTCAGCCTCCTGAGTAGCTGGGATTACAGGCACACACCACTATGCCCGGCTAATGTTTTGTATTTTTAGTAGAGACGGGGTTTCACCATGTTCACCAGGATGGTCTTGATCTCTTGACCTCGTGATCCACCCGCCTCGGCCTCCCAAAGTGCTGGGATTACAGGCTTGAACCACTGCGCCCAGCAGATTCTTAACGGCTATTCCCCATTCATCATCCCACTCCTGCTTGGCCTCCCACTCACCTGTCACTTCAGGATCCTGAATGTTCCACCTGTACAATCTGACACCCAGAGCATACGGCGGATTCACAACTGTCAACGCCCCACCCCACCCAAACAAGTGTCAGGGAACTTGATTTTCCAGGGCAGAACCAAAACAAAGCAAAAGCAATTACATAACAAAAATCACAAACTTCAGTTAATGGAATGCTAGTGAAAGGTCATTTGTCCCCTTCCTGAGATTTTAGGAGGTATTTTAATTGTGAACATTTGAAAATAATTTTAAAAAATAGTAAATAATCTTTGGGAGACAGAAGAGCTACTAGAAATGGCAGACCATGAGGGTATTTTGCAGACTCATGTAAGCACCATGGTATATGCTTCCACCAGTTTAAAGTTGTTTCAAGTTAATGGCTCTCCTAGATCTCTCATTATCACTCACCTTTCCAGACCTTTCATGCAAACTTGAACTACCTACCTCAGAATATCATTATTTGCTTCACTTTGCAAAAAAAAGATATAAGCACTTGGTAACTCGGAAACTATAAATCTCTCTGACACTCACTTGTCTTATCTGCAAAGTAGGGATAAAAACATTAAACGGCAATAATAAAAATGAATTAGAACTAGAGTTTATTGGGAGTTTATAACTTGCCAGATGTTAATTAAGTTGCTTTTTGTATACTGACTCTTTAAGTCTTCATAATATTTCTACAATATAGGTACTATTATTATTTCTATTTATCAGATGAAGAAAACAGAGGCACAAAGCAGTTGAAAATCATGTCCAGGATCATACTAACAGCATCTCAGTGCAAGAACAAAAGCTACTAATATTATAATTATCTTACAGTGTGTTTTTAAGGAATAATTCATATTACTAAATTTAAAAGCAATAGCAAACTTTTGCTAGTTTCTGTGATGCAGGTGCCATGGTAATCATTTTTATATAAGTAATGTAATTTAAACTTAAGTTTACTGAGTAAACTTAAATTAAGTAAGTAAACTTAAGTACTTAAGTAAGTAAACTCTAAGTCTACTGAGGTGGGTTTGGATGACATTATATAACCTGCATTTTACAGATGAGAAAATTGAAGTCTTGGAGAGGTTAATAACTTGACCTAGGCATATAGCTGGCAAGAGACAGTGACCTATTTAAATTGTACCTTCTGACTTCTAGCTATTCCTGTAATTAATATCCTCATTATCAGCCAACTCAAAGTCAGAGGGAATGGTGACCATATGGCTTGGATAGAATTCAAAAAATACCACAGGACATAAACACATTCAGTACTAACTACCTGCTTTGGACAGCTTCCCGGTACTCCTGGTACTAGAAGTGCTGTCACCCCTGGTCAGCACCGTGATGCCCCCAAAACTCGCTGTCTTGGTCATGGTGGGCTTTAGATTGCGGTTGGAACTGTCGGAGTCTGTGCTGCTCCAGGCCCTTTGGTGGTCAGACCACTTGAGTTCATTTTCTGAGCTGCTCTGTCGACTCCCGGATGTTCTCCCTGAGCCATCTCTGTTGCCCCTGGAGCACAGCCACCAGAAAGATGAAAAGGGACAGGATTACCTTACTTGAATGGTGTGGTGCAGAGCAAGCCTTTCTTTGGAAGAGGCATCCATACAAGACCCTTCTTGCCAACCATTTTCATTAAACCAGTTGCCTTCCAGTGTTACAAATACTTTGGTGATATATAGACAGATAACACGTCACATATAACACACAGGTTACAAACAGAAAAACCAAACCTAGAAATGTCACATGATCCCTCTGTCGGTGAAGGAGAAACAACTAGAAAAACATGATATAAAATGTAGTTGTTAATTTCTCTTGCAAAGAGAATAGGTAGATAAGTTCTCCTGACTCAAATCAATAATCGATGGATGTTCAGAGGTAATTATGATCTTAAATGATTCTAAAAGTAACTCCCACCAAAGAAGACTTTATCTCTCTCTTTAGCACAAAATAATTGTCAATGGAAAAATCCACACATATCCAGAGAAGCTGTTAATTCATGTTCCAGCTTTATGAAATATATATCTGAAATAACCAAGGTTTCGAGAGATGGCATAGAAATCACAGAAATTACTCTATTAACCTATGGTAAGAATTTTGTCCACTGAGTTTAACCTTCATGGTCAGAGGAAAGAGCCCTTTAATTCTTTTCACTTAGAAAAACTTTTGAAAGTAACAATAGTGTAAACACTATACACTGACACAAAACTTTCCAAAGGGAACAATGGAAATAACAAAAAAAGCTCCCCAGGTGAGAGAACACATTTGTTCAAACTTCAAATGGAAAAAGAATAAATGTATTGGAAGAGATCCAATAACCACAAGTGAATTTTGAAGACCCTAAAGTATCTCTAAGAAATATGCAAAATTGCATGTATTTTATAGAGAAATTTGATGAAATTTGCATTTTCATTGGTTTCCAATCTGTCTAAAGCATAACTTTGTTAGTATTTTAAAAGATTTTCTGAAGATAAAAATAATGCATTAGTAAAATACCTTAAAATTTTAATGGATTATAAATAAGTGAAGGGAACATAAATCATGATCAGTAAATATAACACCTAATTCATATTAGCAATGTGACATATTTAAGCCTTGATTCAAATCTCGCAGATGTGATTGGTAGCTTCATTGAAAAATATTTTAAAGGCAACAATGTGCTGTTGAGATGTTTGAAGTGCACATATCTGATTGAAATACTCACCAACAAAATTGTACAGACAGTACAAAGAAAATTTTAAGTGTTGCTTTAACTTTACTCACAAAACTTTTTCTTTTATTTCAGGAAAACATAAGGTAAATGGATACAAGAGATTAAAATGAAATAGCTGATTTGTGACAGGAACTTTGTAAGGCAAAGGGAGGAAGGGGTACAGGATATTCACAAAACAAGCACTTTCGAGTGGAAGATTAGATGAAAATACTCAGTGTCCTGCCATCTTCTATTAACATTTTACAAACATTCTGTTCTCAGTACCACATAGATGGCTGGTTTTAGAAATAAGAACCACTTGCTGAAAGCCAAGTTGCAGGTATGACCAACCAGACCTTTACCAATGACCAGGTGGCTTTATCTCTTAAACTCCTCTGAAATTCAAGAAAGCCATGGGAGATAGAGTGGAGAAATAAATTGCCTTTTCAAGGGCTTGGTGTTCTATTTCTGATTGTCTTCTCTTTAAATCTCCAGATTCAACTTCATTCTTCTCCCGTATAATCCTGATTATGTTACCTATCTTTTACAAAGTCTAGCAAAATCATTATTCAACAACTGCGAATGCACCAGAAATGTGACAATAATCTCATTTGCAGCTAATTTGACATATTTATTACAGAAAAACACTGGCTTGATGATTTGGGAGTGGTGCTCAGCCTCAGACTATCGGATGCATGAGATGGAAGCTCTCCATATGAGGGTGATCCCTTGTTCCTATTACTAATTCTGCTTCAATTATCTCTTTAGCCATGATCTCTGCACCTCCGTGGCAGGAATCCAGACTTTCTCTAAATGCCAGTATGGCTGAGCCGTTTGGGTAAAGAAGGTGGCCACCACTATTTCTGGGTGCAATTTAGTGTGTTGTAGTAGTCTACACCCTTCACCCTGGTAGAGCTATTTTTAGAGCTATAAGAAGTTCCTTTAGACTCATGCCACATCCCCTGGTCAATAAGGTAACCTAAGATGTATTTAACGTCTCTATCTCTACCTCATCAGCTCAAATCACGGTCCTAAACAATAATCTGTGCATTTTAAAAAGAAAGAGAAATTAAGTTGCTGATTTAGGGAATTAGCATTGAGATTCAAAAATAATGTATAATTCTAATTTATGATTCCTAGGTATTTATACATTAAAACATATTTTGTATTTCTCTATCTTATACTGCACTATCATCTTAACAGTGGTGAGGTGAGGTCCAGTATTGAATTCCAAATCTGTTTGGGTCTGGGGTAATAGGCATTGTAGAAAACCACACCCACAGGTGTCTTTCCTTCCCTCCCAAGCCCAGTCTTGGTCCTCTCCTACTGGAATACAGGAAGCCAATAGTAATGAGCTATCTGGTCATTGGAACTGGCCCTCTAGGATTTGATCCCAAGATAGAGTTATAAAGCATATATTTTAAGCTGTTTCTGTGCTAATTAATATAACTGTAAATATTTATTTTTCCTTATGTCTAAATGTGTGGGGGTTTTTTTGTTTGTTTTGTTTTGTTTTGGCTTTTGCACAGGTTAGGGATGATATACACCTTGAACTGCTTTTACAATTGTGTGAATGGGTTTGTGTTAAGTTACAGTCCTGAGTTTCTGCGCTTGGTGATTTTGGCGAGTGATGAAATTCCATTTGGGTTAAGTATGTGGTAGCTCTGTCTTAGGGCAGACTTGGGATTATGTATAACTAACTGACCTCTAGGGGACAAGAACCCATGTTTTATCTATATTGGCCTAAACAAACTAGGTCATAATGTGTGAGTGCAGGACTGATGGTAAATTTTAGCTCTTTTCTGAGTTTTCAAGAGAAGTGCAAGGTTACTTTCTTAAATCTTCAAGTGTGAAGAAGAAAATTAATTGTCTGATGATACATACAGAAGACTTCATAGACTGCATAGTTCAATGTAGAAAGATGAAGGAAGTCCAAAAAGAAGCTTCTGTTTTTTGCTTCAATCAAAGTGTAAGATAATAAATTACCTTTACTCATAATGAGTTCTAAAGTCCAGATTTATTGCAAAAAATGTATTTTCTCAACATTCAATTCATCTGCTATTCTTAAATTTTAAGTGGGTTAGAGTTTTGTTGTTGTTGTCATTCCTACAACAGAGATAAATCCTGATATTCATAAACACATTAACACATTAAATATATATATTGGATACTGGGTATACTCATAGTACTGTGTACACTTTGCTCTACAATGGATGTCTGATATACATTGAACAGAACAGTGAGAAAATGGGTATGGTCCCTCTACTTTCATAGAGCTTCTAGCCTAGTATAGAACTTTTTAAAAATTATCACTCTTTCCTCTTATCCCACACAGATTTTAATTGAAGTAGTTCATTATAATTGGAAGGAACCTCATAGCTTTCTTTAGAAATAAAATTCACCCTTGAAAACATACCATTTGAAAAATTATAAAATATAAAATTAAAAATTGGTTACCCAAATATGGCTATCATTGATTTATTTTCCAGTGTTGAGAATGTATGTACAGTTGCAACCTGTCAGGGAGAATTTAAATTATTCACTGTAATTCACTGAAGTTAATCTGAGAAAGTTAAAGGAGTGTGCTACCAAAGTTAGCCCTAGAAAAACAGAACACTAGAACCCTAAAGAATTGTACACAAAGTGATAGATTTCCAGTTGAATATCTCATACTACCAAATATAATTTAAATACTAGCTACGTAACAAGATTTACAAAGAGGTAACTAGACATTCTTTGAATGAACAGAAATATTTTACACGAGTACACTAGTATTTAACATTGATTCTACCACAAAATCTGAAAAAACACAGTTTAAGAAAGTAAACCATACCAACCGAAAGAGCTGTCTTTTCTTATAGGTTTCATTGCATATGTTACTGTCTTCCAAGAGCCTACTGGAAATGAAAAACATGATTTTTATGATATAAAATCTAAGGGTACTAAATGCCCTATGTTAAATGGATGTGCACTCTACTATTGCACACCTTTCTTGTAAATCAATCCACACAATATTTTATTTACATGACGTTGAATTTTGCCATAATGAATTAATGGCAGTAAAATAGGACTAAGATTTCTATGCTAGGATTAAGGCACTGATGCTAGGTAAGGGGGAAAGAAGAAAAGAGGAAGTAGAGGGAATAGAAGAGGAGAAGAGAATAAAAGAGATTGATATATATAATAGAGATTTAATTAAATATATTAGTTGTGATTTTTAGGGTAATATATTAAAACTATTCTTTATATTTTGGCATAATGAAATATTGGCATTCCAGAGGCAGGTATCCAAGAAATACATTTATATTTGGAGGGAAGCCGCTTAAGTAGATTTTTGGTTTTGGGAACATCAAGACATGTTAACATATGCAGTATACACACATGACCAATTATTGTAATGTTGAATATAATACAACAATAAGGGACATTTAAATGTAAAGGAATAATATTAGGGAGGAAGGTAGGGAAAATGATTGGCTAGAATACTAGAGAATAAAGTTTCCCATGAATCTAAATTGCCCGTGCTCACTTAATTTTTTTGGCAAAGATAAAGAATTTTGGAATTCTTTAGCATCACCTGCAAGATGTCAGTGCTTACGGATTCTTGGTTTTACTGTAAATAGGGTATATTTGTCTAAATATACATGGACTTTGAAGTTGTTTTTGAATCCCATTTACGAGTTTCTCAATTGTATTTCTTCTTTTAAAAGAGGTTATTCCACTAAGGGGTTTAGTCATGTTTCTTGAAGATTTCCAAACTGCAAATATGAATGATGCAAAATTTTAAGCCAATCATCTTGAATACCCAGTTTAAATCTCTGAGTACTGGCATTTAATCAAACAGTCTCCATTTTAATCAATGGCATAGGAATGCCCATTAAGCAAACTCCTGAAATAAAATTAACCACTGCTTTATTTATATATACCATATCTCCAGATCAAGGTACCCATTTTGATGCCTCTTAAATGTGATTAGTGCAGTTAGTGTGGATTCCTTAATTTGCCCTGAGTATTTGCAATTAAATCAATGAGGTATTTTAATATATGTGTCAATTTAAGAAAGATTTTTGAAGGGCATATATACATTTGAAAACTTTTTGCTCTTATCTCCAAGATTCTCTATAAATTTTATAACTCATTAATTTCTAACAACAACCTCACCCTACTAACTCCTATGCCAGGTACACTGCTAAATCTAGGCCAGTTTAGATCAATTTTTCAAGGCTAAGTCTTTTATGAAGACTAATAGATTGTTTAGAATTTAAAAATCTGAAATAATATTATTCCAATTATTATTTGTACAGCTATATATTATTATGGGGCACAAGAAGTGGCCAATAATACCAAATATATGCATGCTTCTAGCAGACTACCAAATAAGCCAATGAAACTGCAACTTCCTGTGATGTCTCAATATTTATCATTCTTAATGCCTGGTGAAGGTAATAGGAATTATACCTTTGCAAGGGCCAGAAATTGAGACTATAATAAGAAAAATGTTAACAATTCTGCTTGGAATTAACAGAGAAAGTTTTTCCAAATTAGGTAATTTTTAGATGTGTTAAATAACATATATGTGTGAATACATATGTGTGTACACATAGATATATGTATTTGCTAATACATATATTCAAGCACACACATACATAGCATATAGATTTATGAATATACAGGACACACATGACAGACATTGTTCCTCTACAGACATGAAAAAGTAAATTTTATTTTACCTGTTTTCCACAAAAAGGCTTTCCTGGGAGCAAACTGACTGAAAAATAAAAAAAGGCATTGGATCAGACGTTCTGGATATGCTGAGGGATCGCAAATACTTGCCTGATTTTAAAACTAATTTTCCCTCATAGGGGAAAAGAATAAAAAAGTATGTACAGAAGATAGAAATAAAAAAGGAAAAAGGTAGGTTAGGATTAGAAAAGTAAATAATCTCATGCGGCATAGGGTATGTTTCCTTCAGAACATCTCCAGGTTTTAGGTTTAGTCTGGCATGGAGGTCAGAAGAAGAGAAATGTGAATGAAACTGCTGGAGAAACATGAGGCCGTCGGATTCTGAGCTAGTGGTTTCTTCTGGAGCTGCACAGGTGCAGCCACCAACAAAAGCCAAGGAAAAGGGTTCAAATCAAGGCAAAGCATGCAAACTCCATACGATCCACCTAAGAATGGGAGAGCCATAAAGCCACATTCCTGAAATTATTACCTGGTATGGACAAACGCTCATGAGAGAAAGAGGTTGACTGCAAGACTCTCAACATTGAAGAAATGCCATCAATTATTAATTTTAAGTAAGAGGGGAAGGGTAGAAGACCAGTGAAGGGGAAAATAAGCTAATTAAAAAAAATCAAGCTCCATCTAATATTTCCCAGTTTTTCACATAGAAAAGCCAATGACTTTCTTCTTAGCTTCTATTCACCAAGCATTCATTTCTTTCTTATCTTGTGTTTAATGCACAATGTAGGGAGGTTAAAATTCCATTACCATTACATGCTGATGGAAGGTGGATCAAATTAAACTTAAACAAATAGAAAAGAGAAGTCTAGACTAAGATATGATGCTGTGGTCTATAACAGGGTGACTGTATTTAGGAAGTAACACAAAACCATTTCCAAAGTACTTAAGTTTTTAAACATAAATAAATACACATCTTGTTATATGCATAGATTTTCAAAATGATGAATAAATGACTTGTTAAAGGGATAAGTAGAGACTTAACAGGTCAATTTTAAGATAAAACAAAACTAAAGAAGTAATAATAACCTTTTAATAACCAATTATTGATATAAAAGATCCTGCTTACGTAACCTGAAAGGCAAGCAGAATATTGGTTTCTATTTTCATTTGGTTAGAGAAATAATTTCCTTCCTCTAAGTCAAAGGGCTAGATTTAGGGATAGTGTTTCCCTCAGTGTTGTGAGAATTTCAGTGACAGCAATTCTAAGGTTTATGCTTAACCTTTCTGCACTTAATGTGCATCCTGAATTTCAAGTGTGTAAAAACTTGATTTAACAAAAAGCAAAAAAAGCCAATTAAAAGATAAAGCTTTTCAGAAGATAACTTTTTTAAAAAACTTGACACACACATATATATACAATATACAATATATATGTGTGTGTCAAGTTTTTCCTTTCATATACATATATGAAAGGAAAACAAACATAAATGATGAGCCATTGACATTCCTATGAGGGGCTCTTTACAGTACACTGAATATCCTAACTTCTTTTATTTCCTTTAATTTGGTTTTACTATTGGCTGGAGTCAAGTAATGGCATGTAAAAGAAAGTGAGGTTAGCTCAGATATACATTATGAGTTCATACGTTGCTACGTCTCAGCTCTAATAGTTGGAAAAAGGTTGATTGTGTTTATAATGTTTTGTCTGGGTATTGGAATTATTGAGACTCTATTTCTTTGAAGGAGTTAATTAAAGATATAGTGACCTCTTCAGATCGAATCTAATAGCATTTGGGGGAAAGTTAAGAACCCCAAACTCTGTATTAAAAAGTAATACACCAGCAAGTCAAGATACCTTGCCCAGGCTGGAGCGGTGGCTCACACTTGTAATCCCAGCATGTTGGGGAGGCCAGGGCAGGCAGATCACTTGACCTCAAGAGTTCAAGACCAGCCTGGGAAACATGGTGAAACCCTGTCTCTACAAAAAATACAAAAATTAGCGGGGCATGGTGGTGCACACCTGTGGTTCCAACTATCGGTAGACTGAGGTGGAAGAATCACTTGAGCCCAGAATCCAGAGGTTGCAGTGAGCTGAGATCATACCACTGCACTCCAACCTAGTCAACAGAGACCTTGTCTCAAAAAAAAAAAAAAAATAGGTTGCCCAATAACATCTCAAGTATTTTTCAGATTTCTTTGGAAAGTTCCTAAAATATTATTATCTCATTATCTCCTCAAATACATTTTCATAAATAAGATAGAGACAGTTATGGGCTATGATTCAGTAGCTGATGAAAATAAACTTTTTAAAAAATGTAGTATTAATAACTTGCAAATTTTAATAGCAGATAAAGATAAAATTGTCACAGTAATTAAGTGCAACATTCAAAGCTGTCACTTATATGCATTCTCGGATATAAAAGGCTTGCTTCTTTTTAAAAGAGGAAAAATGATTTTGCTTAATGGGTTATAGAGTTCTCTCCCACATCCCACCCTCAACTCTCGTGGCACCCCATGCCCTTATCACCCATTCCCACTGAAGAGGAGTCCTAGTACGTGCTAGGAGGACCACAGATGAACTCTTCATTGAATCCCTACTTATACACAAATACCTTTCGGAAGTTACTCTCCAGGTAAAACATACCTTCTCAAGCATATTGCTTTATCAATTTAACCTTTCCAAAGTCAGTTACATTGCATAGAATTAACCATAAAATAAGCCTAAATATAAAGTTTTGCCAAAGGAAAAAAGAATTACATTTTATATATACTGATCACAAAAATATATTTATTATTTGGGTACTAGATTCTAAATTGTTGTTTTGACTTACAACTATTTAGTTCTCGAATAATGAATAAATGTGTCTTATCTCAATATATCAAAATTCTCAAAGTAGATTTGAATTTTTTTTCTAGAAAATCCCCAAAGCAACCCACATATTTTGATTATGTGCCTGCATACAAAAGCACACACACACACACACACACACACACACTCTCTCTCTCTCTCTCTCTCTCTCTCTCTCTCTCACACACACACACACTCATAGACACCTTAGACACCAAGATATATCTGGAAAATATTCAATAATGTTTCTGATTTTAAAATATTTTTTTGGCTAAATTGTAAATAATAGGAAGTATTTCTGAACTCTCTACTTTTACTTCAAGTAGCAAAACAATACACTTAAGCGATATTTGAACCTGCTTGAATAACTCCATTACTTAATCAACAATTGTCAAGGAAAGCCACTTTGTTAGCTCAGTTTTCAAATTATGAAGAAACTAAACTAAACACCAGCTAAGAAAAAGATTAGGGTTCTGTAACATAGTTTCCTTATGCTGGATTCTTTGCATTTGTTCTCTAATTGACTCAATATACTGTAATTATCATCTTATGAAAAAGCGATCTTGTGCCTCAGTCATTTGAGCACTGGTAATGATCATTTGGGGATCTGGAAGAACTAGATGAAGGTCCCCTAAAGTGTCCTGCCTTTATGTTTGTGTCAATAGAGGATATAGTAATAGCCTCTGTATACAGAGTTACCCCCATAATCCCCGCCTTTTGATATTCACAACCTTGCTTGGTACTTCCCGCATTGTTTCACAGTTGATTTGAGTGTCCAGGAAAATACAGCTGGGAAGATATGTCATTTCCAAGATTAGGTTATAAAAGACTGTGGCTTCCATCTTGGGCTCTCTCTCTCTCTCTTTCTCTCTGAAATCACTTTCTCCAGGGGAAGTTATTTGCCATGTCATGAAGACAGCAAACAGCCTATGCAGAAGCCTGCATAGTAAGGAACTGAGATCTCCAGCCTATATCCAGTGAAGAATTGAGGCCTTCCAACGGTCATGTTTGAAAGCAGATAACCACCTGATCTAGCCTTCAGATGGTTGGAGCCCCAGTTGACAGCTCAACTGCAATCTCATGTCAGATTTTGAGCTAGAATCAGATTTTAAGCTACTCCCAGACTCCTGACCCATAGAAACTGTAAGATGATAAGTGTTTTTTTGTTCATTTTAAGCTGCCAACTTTGGAATTATTTGTTGTAAGGCAATAAATAGCTAACGCACAGAAAATACCAGTGGTATGACTGCATATCTCTAGCAGAGCTATGCAGGTAGAAAGAAAGACACTGAGTGTTTCTTGCCATCTAAGAGAAAGGCTCTTAGCTTTTTAAGGGTTATGGAAACATGTAAGAATACGTATACAACAGGGACCCTTTCTTTAGAAAAGCACATATGTTCATGAACATGATTTGCAAATGATGTCACAGCTTTCATTTAATCCGTCAAGCCCTTCTAGGAGTATAGTCTGGGTATCCGACGCCAGTTTAAAACCCTGCCCTAGGATCTCAAGTTAAAAGAAGTGCTAGAAACAGGCTAGTGCTCCACTCAAATTAGCAAAGCCAGAAGAGCTGGCCACTAGAGTCTAGGGCTCACACCTCTATTCCTACAGAGAGAAGAGCCAGAGCAGTTAAAGAAGGCAGCCAAATGACTTCCTGGACTGGAAAAGCTATGGCAATAGCTTGACATTTAGGCTTTCTCATATTTAAATGTGCTTTTATTTAAAAAAAAATGTTGACACAGTATGTGGACATAGAGATTTCAAATAGCAACACTTGCCTAAAATGTTTATCCCAGGTCCCCAGCTATCAATCTCGTTAACAAGGTTGTAGGGAAATGCAGTGTACATAGAGAGTCATGCAGACCCTGTTTCCCTGCGACCTCTCTTTAAAAGTGAGAGTTGGCAAATGAAATAAGCAGCACAGGTATCATCTTCATCACAGACAGGCATCAGTGACAGACTTTCTGTCACCTGGCCTTCAAGTGTCTAGTAATGTGACACAACTTTTAAAAAAGCATAATATTGCTTGTGCCTTATATGTGTGATTTGTATTTTCTTTTCAACATAATAACTCATTCATAAATTACTTGACCCGCCAGGAAGAGTGTGAGGGAAAATGTGTGTGTGTGTGTGTGTGTGTGTGTGTGAGAGAGAGAGAGAGAGAGAGAGAGAGAGAGAGAGAGAGAGAGAGAGAGCGAGCGAGAAAGAATAAGAAACGAATTAAAAAATTCTCTCTATGAAGCTCTATGAAGGTCTTCAGACAGGAACATGCTGCTTCCCAGGCCCCTGTAGGCATCCTTATCTCATTATGACTAGCATAGATCCTCTCATCACTTCATTCCTGTATCCACCAAACACAATTAAAGGCCCACCATGTGTCAGGCTGTGTTTTGCATTATCTAAAATTCTGACCACAATAGAAGTCTAAGTAGCCTACATGTATGCAGAGTCTTCTAAAATTGCATCCAGATCTCCAACTACGGTAACCTCCATTTCCCTCTCTCTCAAACTTTCCTAACTTCAGAGCTCTTAGCTAGAGAATCCAATCATCAAAATTATATTTCAGTGTGTTCAAGAAAGGTGGTGGGGTTGGGGTGGGGGGCGGGATATAAACGTGAAAGAAGTGCAGTGGTGGAGGAGGTTGAAGCTCCCCTGCACTTTCATATTAAAGGAACCAGCACCAGCTGGAGGATCAGAGAAACTGGCTCTGGCTTGAAATTTTCAAGGTGGCAGTCTTCCTCCAAGCTGAGCACTGAAGCCTACTTCTCTGAGCTGGCTTTGTGTAGTCTCCAGAATGAGATCACAGCAGGTCAGATATTCTACTTGACTTGCCAAAGACTGAAGTATTGGCCACGGAGTCTTTAAAAAGAAGCTCACACTTGTACTTCTGCAGGGGGAAGAACCCACATCATTTGAGGAGGCTGCTAAATGATTGCATGTAATGAAAATGATATGGCAGTTGCTTGACATTTTCCCATTTTTTTCACCTTTTAGTGTTTAATTAATTGCATTTTATCTTGACCATAGTGGGTAAAGATAAAAAATTCCAACCTTTTTTGTTGTTGTTGGGATTTGTTTTATGATTATTCCCTTGACAAACTGTTCACAAATCTGATTTGAAATTGAGGAGAAAAATAATCCAGCTTTACTATAATGAAATATTCGTATTTGCTAAGAACCCAGAAAATGCTCTTTGTATATGGATATGTGTGTGAGATAAAGAGATTCTTTCTTCTTTGTCTTTCCCTGGTACAATATTATTAAAAAGAAAACAACACTAGGTAGGTGATCTGCTGGCTGGTGTGGAGGTGAAGGCATTTCTTCAAATCTGACAACCTCTCTCTGTACTTAAGGTCTGTATCAGACAAAAACCATACCTTTATATATCCCCACCAGTCATATCCTAAGAACACACCCAAACCTTGGCTAGGTTTCTATCACTTCCCTGAACCAGATCCTCTTCCAAAATCACCTCTAGTTTTCTTCAGTTTGATTTGTTCTCTGGCTCCAGAGTTTTTATTCCCTGCCACCTCACTGTCTGGGGGATGAGGAAGCCCTACTGCTGATGGAAGGAGCGCACTAAAGAGGCAATTAAAACAACTACTCACATCGTGTGCAAATATTCTCTCCCTCACTCTCTGATATTCCTCTTCTCTCTCTTCAATTGATTTACTTCGTCTGTCATCTCTAAATGGATGCATTCTGTTTTGCTGAACAGAAAAAAGAAATCGGGAGGGTTATCCAAGTTGAGTTGTTAGAAATCTGCGGTCAAGCAACTGTCAGCTAAGAATAATAAATGTTCACTTAAACAAATGGAGCCTGAAAAATCTCATTCTCTCTGTTCCCTGAGGAGGCTGTGTTGGCTGCATGTTCCATGTGTGTGTTTGCTGCTGCTGGTTGGTTCCTCACTGGATGCAAGTAGCACAGGTGTTTCCAAAATGAGTACACCTCAATGTGCCTCAGGTATTCAGTCAATTCAGGTAGGTGGTGGCTCATCATTGATGAACTCTGTCCTTTGTGGTTCTGACTCCTCAGAAGGAGGCAGAATGCTGGTGAGAAAAAGAGGAAGTGGCTAGTTCAAGGTGGCTGAGGGAAAAAATCATTTTGAAAGCTTAGGGACTGGAGAAAAAGCAAGTGAGCAAAGAAAGCAATGAACAGAAAGGAAGACGTGGACACTATTTCTCCATCTTCTAATTTGCATTATTCATTCAGTGACTGATCCTATGAATTGCATTTAGCATAGAATCAATGACCTCAGGCTTACAGGCTAAATTTTTAAAACCTGTTTGTTAACAAGAGTCAATACCAAGAACACTAAAGTAATGCTTCAAAGAACCCAGCATGAGGACTGCTCTTTATCCTGTGTTCTGAACTACTTCCTGCATCTTAAATCTCCTTCCATCTATTCTTGCCATTCCTTACAAACTGCTCCGCACTAACCACATCCATCCATCCATCAACAGACACCCACTAAACATGACACAGGCACAGGTTTCATAGTCAAAAGGAGCCATGGTGTAGCTTGGTGGTAGTGGGAGGAAAGGAGATATAAATGAGGAACAAGTTTTAAAGAAGTGCGTCAGAGACGCACATACTGGCTGAATGACTCACTAAGAGTGATTAAAATGATAAGTTGAGTTGCATGTTGTCTTACCTTTAAGAATTCTAAAGCAAAGTCATTTGCAAAAAATCTATTTTGATTGTCAGAGACACAAAGTATAATTCGAATTTCATTTACATGACTTTCTATTGTTATCATCATTTAAAAAGTTGTGGGTTTTTGCCATTTATTTAGTTTTCTTCTAATCACCCTGGATCCCACAGCCCCCATCTAAGAAGAGATTTAGTAAAGTCTCTTTACTCTCGTCTGGGTACCACAAATAAGGCTGCTCTAGAACAACATAGTGTTTTGTTACAAGCGAAATACACAAGGATAAAGTTCTGCTACACTTCATGCAAAACAAGCAGACAATTTACATGGACCATACAACATGGGAAGGAGAGGGGATAAAAGACTAAAACATGAACTCAATTCTTTTCTGTGAAGACTTATTTTAGGATAGTTGCAAAATCCACCTGTCCTCACCATAACAAGGTTTGTTCTTTACAGCTACACCGGTTGATCATCGGTCCGTATTGATTATCCAGCTCAATTTGTGCACAACTGAAGGACAAAGCTGTAGGGAGTGGAACGACTGCCATAGTTACACAGACATCTGGAAATGCGACTGACAAAGCTTTTCTCCACAGCTCGGAGCCTGTGGCATCCCGACCCCCCCAGACATGCAGCAGAAACTGCGCCAAGCACCACCCATGCAGCCCAACACAGAGCCATTGCTAAAGCAATCAGACATATATATATACATATATATATTTTGCTACCCATTGAATGCCAAAGGGGGAGGCAAGGAGGAGAAGGAGGTTGGAGATAGGACAGTGGTATTGGAGGAAGGGAAGATTGGAGGGAAGGCAGGGACAACAGAAGGACGACAAGAACATCAGTCAGCCCACCTTCAAAAACAACAATGTCAGCCACTCTCAAACTTGAGAACCAACCTGATTGTCTTCTTTATCAATACTAGAGTTATCTCGCTTCAAGATAAACCGCTTCTGGGATTCTTCACCTTTTTCATCTTTTAAATGTTCACAAAACCTTTGCTCTGGTCTGCCAGCAAAGTAAAACATATCAATAAAAAAGTTTTTTCCCCCTTGTTTAAAGTTATTTCTTAGCGTTGTTCTTCCCCCACAGTGTCATTTAACTTAAAAGTTTACAAGTGGTTTTGATACTAGAGTTGCTGGCAATATACAGGTAGGTAATAATATGTCACTTCACATGTGTTGTTAGAAGAACTTTTGTTGTTTTGAATTCGTGGTCTTGTTTGCTACATGCTGCACATCATGGCTGAAATTGAAAAACAAAATTTAAAGGCCTGCCTATATATAGTGTACAGATGTTTTCCTTAGTTATTTTGACCTCTATTACTCCTGAACTCAAATAAGCCCATATTCTCAAACAGATACACATGTTTAGAACTTGAGAGTAACACATTAATTCACCAATGTCTGGAAGCCAACAAAATATCTTCTATCACATACTCCTTTTCAAGAGTCTTTGGACTGCATAGTCAGAGAGGATCACTTAAAAATTATTTGCTGTCTCCTCCAATCATGAACACTGGTTCCAGTAGACTGACACCCTTGACCATGTCTTGTAAATCAGTAATTGGAGAACTGGAGGTCTTTAAACAACTTAATAACTGATTAGCATGGGGAAAATGCTTCAAGCAGTTATACACTATGGATTAGTCAATTGATTTTTTTAGGTCCCCGTAATCATTTGGTAGTATTAAAGGAAAGGGCTCCACTTCCTTGTTATTTCCCACAGTTGTCATTGCAGCCTGCAGAACTCAATGAATGACCTGGACACGGGTTCATCCACAGAGGAAGTGCTAAATGTGTGTCTGATTCACACAGTTATAATTTATGACTGTCATTAAAGCGCCTCTGTCATATCTGATGTATGACTTCTGAAGTCTAGAAGGTATTTTGTCCCTACTGTGTTCGTTAGGTTTTGAGTCATTAGGAAGCTGCTCACAATGTCTGTTGTTTAATGTGAGTGACCAGTAATTAGGAGAAACTTATCATTTGCTCCTAGCTCTAAAATAAGCAAATAGCACATTGAAAATAAAGTAGTTTAAGTGCATAATTCAAATCTTGATAAAAAGCATTTCTTCCTTCCTTAAATATGTATACATAAATTATCATATTGATGAGCAGGCAACAGCAAAAAACTGGAGTAATACCTGTTAGAGCTTTCAAAACTAAATATAATTTTTGCAACATGGTGTCAATATCTTATTCAATCCTTACAGTAAAAGTCTGGTGCAGAAGCAAATATTTTTGCCTCTTTTAAAGACAAGGAGACCATCCCTCCATGCTTCTTTTGACTTCACGTTTATGAATTTGCCCAGTCAGCCACAGGCACCACACAGCCTGGTCACATCCTTTCAGAGACTCAGTTTTGTTCCTCTATATATTGCAGAGTGGGCTGAGGGCCCTCAAACCCCAAAATAAAGAACCATAATCTTCCATCAACTTATCCTGGTTTTCAATGTAAATGTTTTCCACCAAACTTAAAATGTAAACAAAAGCCCGAAAGTACTAATATGACATATTAAAATTAGTATTCTAAAGAAATAAACTTGTACTTTACAATGAAAAGGTCATTTATAGTAGAAAAATTAAACATTTCAGTGTAGCATAGTCACAGTACACTTTAATTTCTTATTACATTGTAAAGATATTACAGTGTAACCTTGCAGGTCCCTGTAAACAATAGCAATTCTCCAGATTAAGCTTCCTAACATTTTCTACCAATACTTATATGTTGTTACACATTTTTTTTTTCCATAGCAAATGAAATTAGGATGATGACTTAAATACAGCTGTCGATTCCATCAGTGCTACTTAAGTCTCTTCTAATATCCCTAGGCTCTGTTAAGCTCTGATCAGGTCTAGTTAAGTGAAATGATTTACTGACTTGCAAATTTACTGGTATGTTTTGTATTTGTTGTAATAGTCTGTAATTGTCCATTTACAAATAAAATGATCTGAGAATGTGGACTTTTTGATTCATGAGCATAAGGTGAATTTGTTACAGATTGACTTATTTAGGTTGAAAGCATTAGAGTGAGATTTCAGCACACAAACCAGAATTAGAATTTAAGTTTCATGTCAATGCAGACCTTGTCTTTTTAAAATACTTAAGCCTTAGTGCCTAGAACCATGCCTGGTACCTGAGAGGCACTTGGCTGAATAAATATATTAACCAGTGTATAAACAAATGAACATTTAGCAGAGCTATTCATAAATCACTATAATTCAGGGACAGATAAAAAAAGTCACTTGATAAGATATGAAATTATAAGCTCCATAATTATAAAACAGAAGAGAACTTGGTTAGTAGGAGTATAAATTCAAATTTAGAACATTAGTAAGATCTTCAAAAATCAGAGTTATGTTTCAATTTATGTTGATCAAAATTAATCATGCTACAAAAACAAATGTTTTTGTTTGTTTTAAATATGAGGATATCTTGGGAAGATATGAAAGTGAAAATGAAAATCTTGGCTTTCCTAGTTATGGAACTTCCCAGTTTCAAGTGTCATTGTATCTTTAAAAGAACTATTTAAACATTATTTTAAAAATATCATTTCCATTTCTCTGTAGTAGTCATTTATTTTTCATAAATTTAGAAAAAATGCATCTACAACATAACTGAAAAAGTAATCAAAAGGCTTATTCTAATTAATAATGTAAACATTGTTTAGAGCAAGAATATTTCCTATTAATACAAATGATACAAAATGCATCCTTAATAACTGCATTTCAAATAACTGGTTTTTTTCAAATACTGGAATTTAATAGTCCAAATTATTAATACTTTTATATTTTTCCAAAAATATTGAATGACCATAGAGTAACTGTTTGAAGTTTGCTTAAAAAATTTAAATGTTTCTAATAAGATTTTTCTAGGTTGATTTTATAGAGAATTGTTTATGACTGTTGAGCTAAAGAGCAATTTTGCAGTTTAAGCTCATGTAAACTAAGGTATATACCCGAAGTACTGCAAATTATTAAACTAAAAATCACTGGTAATGTACCTTAATATTATAGCCTTGAAAACTCAGCTCCCTTTCACAGTTAATTTACCACCATAGCGATATTATATCTAAGCAATAAAATGAATGGAACTAAAATAATGTGTTGCAGGCCTTTATTTAAAATAGTAATAGATAACTTTTAAGATATTAATATGCAAATGTAATTGGAAGAAAACATTCTCAAAGCTGCAAAAGATTGTGGTATTTATTAAGTCAATGATGACTAGACTTTACTATACATTTTGCAGCTCCACATCACTCATGCCTAACTTTTTTTTTCTGGTAGATTTCAGTACATGTGGTATTATTTCTATCTTTCTCTATATTGCCATCAAAAAAGTATGGAAAATAAATGTAATGCTTATTCTAGATGAAAAATACTTTCTTCTTCTGAATATATCTTTCCACAGACTGTAGCATATAACTGCTGTGAAACTCACTGTTCATGTGTAGTGAACAGTACTAGCATTTCTGGTCAATTTCTTGGCAACCCCAATCAAACCTTTGAAAAGTCAGAATTAATTCTTCATTGTTCCTTACTTAGGCGTAGGTTACGAATTAAGAAACAGTGTGGTTGAGTGAAGATAATCAAACTCTGTCTTCTAGTCATTCAGTTCCAATTTTAGTTAGTTTTTTTCCCCTTGAAGCTTGAAACAGATGAGCACTCATTATTATGATTATTTCTAATTTTTCTTACTTTGAATTATTTTCAATAATTTACCTTACTGCCAGGTTCTTAAGAAAAGATTTATTATTTTTCTTCCAAATAGTTAAACTTAACCTTTCACTCTTTTTCCAAACATAAATAAAAAATTTAATTCTACTGAATATGTAGTCACAGAGAGGTCTTAAATTTCACCCTGAGTGAAAAGGTGGTTATTAATATGTATAAGTATTTCAACAAATAAAACTTTCTGTTCACAACAGTATAAAATATTTTGATAGCATAGGACACCTATCAAAACATTTTAATAGTCAAATTACAGAATTCTAATGGCACTGTTCTCTTCATATCTCAAAAAATTTCAATTAAAATATGTACAATTTGGATGTATTTTATTGAAAATAGAAAGGAAAGTTCTATGTTCTTATTTTTAAATAAGTGTATCTCACCATTTGCATTATCAGTTTGTCATTTTATACCACTTCATTTTCTTTCAAATAAGACTATAGCTTATGAATTTAATATGTGCAGTGCTAAGCAGCCAACATTCTTTATTAGCATCTTTCAAACTCTTGTTTTGAATTTTGTAACACCCTTGCAAAATTCATTTTATTCTTCTTTGTTTCTGTAGTGTAATTTATGTATAAGCAGAGGCATGCAAACCAAAGCTTTGACTCTCCTTTAACATAAGACTTTCCATGAACAACAGCATTAAGCACATCATTTAAAAACAGCATGCATTTGTAAGGCATCCCTTACATTGATACCTCTGCTCTGGCAAACAATTTGGCTACGTGGATTTAGAGACTTAAAATTTTAAAATATCATTTTTTTCTTGACAAGGTGGTTCCATTTCTAATAATGAATCAAAAAAATAATAATAAATGAATGCAGAATTCTATCATTCACAACAGTAAAACAGTGAAAATCTATAGTAGATTAAGTAATTTAAGGTACGTAATATATGATATGTGGCTCTATACAATTATATCTAATAATATTGAGTAACATAGAAAGCAATTAAGAAAAACATAGCTATACTTTGATCATATTTATGTTGAAACTATAATATATAAGAATAGTAGTGCTAGGCATAGGTATGTCTGATGGTGGGATAATAGGCAATTTTACATTAAACCTTTTATATATTTGTATGAAAATAATTATTATTTTAAATCAACAAAATAATGAAAATTATTAGCTTAAAAAGATAGAAAAACCATTCAACAACTTAGTAGTGGTTTACATCGAATTACTGGATAATAGATAATTAAAATATCCAAATATTTTGAATATTTAACAAATATTCTTTCATAGCACGTATTATTACAATCACCC